GTATGGTAGGAGGACAAATGCACTGGGCTCTGAGGAAAGCAAAGTTCAGCTGAACTGATACCTTTGGTGGGAGTTTCTGGGGGAATGTTTTCCCTAGTCTGGAAAATTCTTACATGGAATGGATGGGTTTCTGTTCAAGTGATCCACTTTTTAAAAAATTCAGTTTTGAGTGGTAAAACTGAACAAACCTACTATAGAGCAAGAAGTGTGGGGTGAAACCTGGGCTGGGTTAAAATAGCATTGGCTGGACTCCATTTTTGCGGATTGAAGCATTCTACTTGTTATTAACCATAGTGTCTGACCTGGTATTCTGGTCTTAATGCCTGCCAAAAGCTGAGGCTTCTCCGAGAGACTGAAGACTTATCTACTACAGCCTCAACGTGTAGGAACGAAGGAATTGGGGAAGCGATTCTTTCTTCCTATCTTTGGGAACTTTTCTGGTATAGAACGTAGTGTCTTTTCTGGCAAAACTTTTCAAATCTCAGGAATTATGTGGAATTAGATGTTTAGAAACCCTTGTTGGGGTCATATGCGTAGTCACCTTTATAAGTGTTTGCCTACGAGGGGTTGAGGGAAAGAATGCAGAGTGAGGAAAGAGAGGAGGAGTAAGGGGGAAGGAGAACTGGATCTGAAAACATGTGCTGACTGGGAGGCTGTAAAATCAAGGGTAGTTCCAAGCCGATGCCACTGTGGGGCGCCAAAGTTCTACTCGGCTAAGGCCCGCCGCCGCCTTGGGTGCGAGGACAGAAGTCCTGGAGAACAGATGCACTGGGGGAAGAGAGCGGGGAGGGGGGAAGGAGGGAAGGGGAAGGAAAGGAGGGGTGGGGCTAGGGTGTCCTTTATTCTTCAGTTAAACTTGCCTGGGAGACTTTGTTACATAACAAGTCTGTGCGTGGGGGAAAGAAGACTTTGTTAGAGGGAAAGAAGGAGGGTGTGGGGAGGGGGTGAAGCTCTTAGAAAAGAAGAAAATCTCGGAATACTGAGTTGACTTGGGAGCACAAACGGTCCTCGTGGCTTCAGAGATGTTGGGGCTTATTCTTAAACTGGGGCCACGACCTTTTTTAAAGGGAGCTAGCGAGGAGGGGGGGATAGGTTTGGAAAGGGTCCGTTCCCAACCCCCCACCCAACAGACACAAACCAGAGACCCCGCCCAACCTCCGGGCCCCTCGCCCCACTCCCTACCCCCCTCCTTTGCCTGGAGGCTGCTGCCTCCAGGAAGCCGGGCTCTTTCTCCTCCCGGGCGCGGAGGCTCCATCTGCAGCCCCCGAGGACTCCTCAGCCGGGATAAAGGGCGGCCTCCCCAGCCTGCCAGCGCCCGGGATGCTCAGCCGTCAGCTGCCAGGAGGCGCTTATTTCTTTCCGAGGCAGCTTTCGCTGCGGGCAGCGAGGGGCGGAGGGGCCCGGGCCCGCGGGGCGGGGCAGGACGGGGGCGGGAGGCAGCGGCCGCGACCTGGGGAGGCTGAGCGCCCAGGCCCCGCCAGGATTTATTACATCCCAGCCACTGGCAAAGGTTAGGAACGCGCATTTAGAGACAGGATAATCCGAGTTTAAATATTAAAAGTAAAAGCAGAATCGGTCGAATATTTACCTAGAGACTGAGCAGATCTCCCTTCGCGAGGGGAGAGGACTGTGGAGGAGCCCGGCTCCGAGGCCAGCGGCTCTAGCGCTGCGCTTCCCCAGTGACACCGCCCGGGATGGCCAGGACCCACCTCTGAAGCTTCCTCAGACTGTGGTTAAGGGGGCGGACCGGGGACCCCCTCACTCTCTCAAATAGATCGGAGTCTGCGGGGCTCGGTCCAGATCTTCTGCTTTGTCATAGTCTCCTTTTTAAGGGCCTCCCGGACCGACACAAAAGGTGGCAGAAAGTACGTTGGATCAATAGCAAAGATTGTTATTTAGATAACGAATTAATCTCCCTGTTATAATACTTTTTATAGTGAACTTTGCACCCTTTCCATAAGAAAAAGGAATTTAAAGGGAGAAGAAAGTCTCAAACAGGATTAAGGTTTTAATTACAATTCCCTATCGAAATAGTATGTTTGATGAGCTGATCTTATCAATTAATAGTAACATTAAAGCACAAGAAACAGATTCACCGAAATATGCTTAAAGGAGCCTTTTAAAAGTAATCGCACTCGGGGAACTAGTGGGGTAGGCAGCCAGCGATGCTGCGTCCGAGCAGGTTTCGGATCTCCCCTGCTCCGACTGGTCCAGAGCGGGGCGCGCATCTGCGGGGCAGGATGGGGTGGGGGCAGCGGGCCTGGAGCTGGGAGACCAGACTACGCGGGTGGGAGGGAAATAACAGACGCCTCTTCCAAGCCGAGGCCCACATCAAAGGTGTGGCCCCACAAGGGCCGTGTAGTTCACTGCGTTTGGGTCAGCGTTATATTCCAGGGGCAAATAAAGTAATTTGAACATGCACCAACAGTTTTCCATAAAATACGAGTTAAAAGAAGTAATAGAACTAATCACTGTCTCCTCAAATCAAGTAGAAAACATTTCAATGCACTAATTAGAGTAATTAGAATAATAAGCCTCTGCCTATATGTGGTAAGACAATGTGTACAAACAACTTTATTTAATGTATACTGGTAATCAGCGATGCGTGCCTGCTTGAATGCTTAGCGCAATAAAACTACCCTCCGTCCGCCCAAACAATCAAATACAAATTAGTTTAATGATTGTGCCTGCTGAATGTCTTAGAAATCCACAGGCAGAGGCGAGTAAATAGAAGCATCCTTGTTTGCTTCTACGACCCCGCCCGGGCTGGCCGCTGGGCCGGGTGAGTGGCCGCGGGCGGGTGCGGCGGGAGCCACCGGGAGGCTCCGCCGCGCAGGCGGAGGCCAGGCCGGGCGCCAGCACAGACCTGCGCCCCGCGGGAGCCCCTGCTGCTGCCCTTGGTCGCCTTCCCACTCCTCTCCCGCCAGCTTCCCGCCTCTGCGGCCCTGTGGTGCAGTGCTGGGTCCCAAACCCACATGTCCCGCGCTTGGCCTCACCTCCTCCGACAGGCGAAAGGCCGCTTTAGAACTCTCCCACCGCCTGTTTGCGACGTTTTTCAGAGCTGAGTGACTTCCTCTTACAGGGCGACTCTTCCCTCGGGCCTCAGAGGACTAAGGGGGACTTACTTGTGCGGGCCCTGAGAGCCCTCAGTTCCAAAGATGGATGCTAGGCCTCCAGTACTGAGGAGCGGCCCCTCACTTTTGCGGCCCTGAGCTCTGGCTTGAGATGCCGAGGCGCCCAGAGGGGCTCCCGGGCCCCCTTCTCTAGGGAACGGACTTTCCTCTGCTGGGAACTGACTTCAAACCCAGCAGGGAAGTGCTTTCCAGGGGGTCTAAGAATTCGGTTTCCTCCGTGCCTCAGCGGCTGGAGAGTAGGTTCCTGATCACTGGAGGCAGGGAGCTGAGGTCAGAAACACCCAGAAGTTTGCTGGGTGGGAGCTGAAGGGAACCTGCCTCAGAACTTTGCTCCCCAGCTCTCAGCTGTCCCCCACCATTTTCGTCAATACCGCCGCCCCCGAACAAAAGCAGGAAAAGCCCAGATTACTGTGCTTCCCTGGGCAGCGCTCACGCTTTCCTCTCCAGTATTCCTGCACTCCTCTCATCTCCCTCTTTCTCTAGGGGCACTGTCTTCCACAATTGCCTCTCCTATGCAGGTGCAATGTCCTGGGCCCGACTTTGCAGAGTCAAGTGGAAAAGCCGGGCAGGCAGAAAGCTAGGAGACTCTCCTCTGGGCCTCGACCTCTTGTCACCCCTAGAGCCCCGAACCTCTGCCCCAGCCACACGCGCCCCCAGAGAGGCCCTGCCAACTCCTGCGTCTAGATCCCACTTTCCCGGGGCGACAGCCATACCCAAGACATCTGGACTCCTCCTAACCGCCACCTCTAGCCTCTGCTGGGGCGGGTAAACCCACCAACTGTCCCCCTTACCCCACCCCGCTTCCCTGGGAAGCGAGAGAGTGGAACGGCTAGACCTCCGAGCTGTTGACACTTCCCCTGGGGGTCCGGGCTTCAGAGCCCCGGAGCCGCAGAGAATTCCAGCTTTCCAGGCAGGCACTCAGGGGCTGCTGGCAGCGTTCCGAGTGAAGGCCTGGGGTGGAAGTCTAGGGAGTGCCCGGCTTCTCTCCCTCTCTTTCCTCCCTTCGAGACCGAGCCGGCTGTAAGGACCTTCAGACAGCGGCCTGGGTCCCTGAGGTGGGGGGTGCGCGGGGAGGCCAAGGCACCTCTTTTGCGACTGGTCAGGGAGCAGATGCTGGCCGGCAGCACACTCACCCGACTCGTCCAGGCGCGGCACCCACTTTGAAGGAATATTTGTTAGGGGAACAACATCAACAAAAAGTTATTAATGTCAAATAATTGTCTCCAGAATCACGTGCTGTGGAACACGAAAATTCCTCTGACAGAATGAGATTTCTTAACAGGAGGAGGAAAAGAACTCCCAACACTTTCCACATAGATGTGCCTGAACCTTGAAGCCCAGTGATTTACAATGGCTAATTTGTGTTACAAACCCACAAGAAACTTTCTTTTTCCCATCCTCCTGCCAGACTCTCTGTGACCATATTTTTTGGTGCGTGGCTTTTTTTTTCTTTTTAAACAACAAACCCAGAGGAAACACTGGTGGGAGGAAAAATATATGACCCAAATAAAAAAAAAGGACGCAAATTCAAATTTACTCCACAGTGGAGTTTCCTACTGCCGTTGCTTCACACGCAAAGTTAATCGTATACATTTCATAACAATCAAAATCCTTTCTGTATCCCTCAGATGGAGTTCTAGGGCTCCCGTCTTCCTAAAATTGGTGACAACTACATCTTTGTGGGGGATTTATTTCCTTCTTTTTTCTAGATGACAGCTCCCCGTTCTGAGAGCAGAGAGCTGTTTGCCGCCAACTAGAGAACACTGGAGCCTAGCCTCTTCAGGCACAAACCGCATATGGAAGTCGCCCTCCCCAACTCTCAGACAAAGAGCTATAAAAACTCAGAAAGACGTGGAAGGAATAAACTTTAGGATATAGATGCACTTTTACTGGCATATTAAATAACATTTTAGACTTAAGAAAGAAGAAATACAACTTAATGTTACCAACAATCAGAATTCTAGGAACAATAGAAGAGGCCAGAATTGTTTTTATGGGATATGAAATCATTTCTAAAACCTCTAAGTCAAGCAGAGGTGTCATTAAGATAAAGGAAGGTACTATATGATGAAGTTTGTTAACTTTTCTTCTTTTAAAGGAGGGAACAAATTTCCTAGTTTCCCACCAAACACCAAAAAAAAAAAAAAAAAAAAATCAGATAAAAAAAACAAAAAAAAAAAAAAAAAAAGTGAAAATATTCGTTGTTTCCTTATCTCATTATCAGCCAAGCAAGGCCCTAGGAATAACTAAAAAAGCCATTTTCTGGTACCCTCATACCTGCCTGATAAGGAGGCGTTAAAATAATATGGCCCACCTTCTGAAAACCTGAGCCAGTTAATTCCATGATTGGTTAGCTGGTGGCAGACCCCTTGCCACTTTTGCCTTGTTTCCCATCCTGAATCGAATGGTGGGAATAGGTATCAGAAGCCCAGATTCTCTCTTACTGCCATCTGCCCCCTGTTAAAAGACTATGCATCATTGAAAAGTAAACTTTCCTAAACAGGGAAAACGTTTATATAAAACTTAGTTGTACATTCCATTTAGTTATAATATCAAGATTCGTAGTACTTCAAGATGCATCTTTTTCTTTCATTTTAAATAAACACTGTCCTTTGCCTTACTCACTGAAATATACAAGCAGACCCAAAGAATCACTTTTACCTTTGACCCTCGCTTCATCAGGCTTCTTTCTTTTCCTGTACAAGTTCCATTCTTTACCTCATTTTTAAACTTGTGTAGAAATTCAGTAGAATCTAGAACAGAGTTCTATAAACTGATTGAAAAATCAACAAAGACAAATCACAGAGACTAGTGATAAAAAGATAATTTAACCCACTTTCCAGCACTACCCAAGCTGCCTCCAAAGTAAGGCAAGTGAAAGGCAATTAATGCAGCATATAGACATATGTGCAGGTACTATTGCACCCAAATGCCACCCACCTCCCCCACTGTTGCTGTTGCATCTCTTTATTAGTTGCTTTTGAAAAAATAAGAAGGTAGATGAGTGTCTTTACCAAAGCCATTTCACTAGAAAATTTTGCCAACCACTGTGTGGCCTCCACTGGTAGGAGCAGGAGGGAAAGGGGAAGAGAAGAATGCTTTTGTTGCTACCATCTGAAATATAAAGGCAGTTACTTCGTGGGAACCTAGAATATTTAGGACTGCCAAGCATAATATTATTTGTGGCTATTCCCTCCATCTGACCTTCACATAACTCGTTTTCACATGATTGTTTCTCCCCCATATTATTACATAAATATTAAAAGTAACATATTTTGAGGAAACACGAGAGGTCTTTGGAATAGCTGTATTCTGCATTGTCTTAGGAGAAAGAAAGTGTTTGTTGTTGTAGCTAGCCAACATCTTAGGAGCAACTGTCCCACAAATTTCTCCCAGTGGCAGTGATGGGGGTTTTCCACCTTAATGTGTAATATATTCCCAAACCAGTGTGGAAACTACCCGAATAGCCTTAGGATCTGAACAGCAAGCATGGGTCAAAACCACGGTGCGCACATTTAACATGTGATGGTTTCCAGTCAGCTGCCCCTGTGGCTAAGAACAAAAATGCCTTCTCAAGGTCCACTAAAATGCCCTGCAGAGGGCAGATGCTGCTTGTTTTCTGCCTGCAGTGGGGAAGAATATTGACCCAGAACTCAAATCTATACCCAGCTTAAACATTTTACCCATCAGCATGTCTGCGGTCACAAAACACTTCTTCTTTCTGTCACTTCTCGTTCAGACTATTGATAAGATCATTTGGCTGAATCTGTTTGAGACCCATGTAATATTGACTAGGAGTTAGAAAAGATGATCAGATGTAATAAGCCCAGAAACTACCTTTCAAAATGGACATTTATACTTAAACCAATGTTCCAAGAAGGGCTTTAAATACATCAGCAAACTTGTAAACTGATTCAACATTGCTTGAAATTCTCACTAACCTTAAAACGAATTTTGGTAAGTGTACTGTTTCATCTAAGATTGTCTGAAACAATCTGTTATTAGCATCACGGCTTGAATCTCTCCCATATGTTCTTTTTTTAAATTTTTTACTTGCATTAAAGTCTGTTTGTATGCCTAATGAAAAAGAGACACAATTGTATAAACCATTGTAAAATTCATCTTTTTATGCAAACTAAACAGGAATAATATATAGGATCTACCTCTAATCATTTGGTAAACATGCAATAGCATACTATCAGGGTTATTCTTTGTTGAGAGATATTTGTAAATTATTAAAAATTATAATCTCCTAAATCCTGCTGTTCTGTAGATACCAAATTATGTGAGGACCTGTGGGTAGAGATTAAAATCCACCTAGTTCCACTGATGATCTCCAAAACAGCACAATTGAATAAGGTACAGATAACCTGAAAAGAAGACGCAGGCATATCTGCATATATTTAAAGGGGGCAAACATCTCTTTGTAGGACCATGAAATGGCAAACAAATTGAAGCTCAAACCCAATGACCATTTCAATTTAATGCTACGGGCATAGTGGCTGAAAGATTTGGGACTGATAGTTTTTGCAAAGAAAAGTGATTTAGACCAGTAGTCTCCGTTACAAAAAAAAACAAAAAGCCTCTGAAAGTTATGAACATGAAATCTGGCGGTATATGCATAAAATTTATTCCAAAACTTTATGAAGTATAAAGGAAGGGAAGTGTTTTACACACAACTCAACTCAGTCAATTTAAAGTCTAGGGTTTTCCCCCCTTAAAACTTGGGATTATCTTTAAAAATAAAATAAAGATATTTCAATAATTAGAACAAACTATGAAGGTATTGTGCATTTCTGTTTTATGTAGATAATAAAATATTACTTTAACATAAATATATAAGGATCTCTGCGTTTTTATTTTTCCCCACAAGCACAACCAAATGTACCAAAACAAAGTATTTTTTAAGAGACTGAACAAAAAAATTACATCCCATATAGATTTTGCTCACCTATTCATTTAAAGCTACAGAAAAACAGTTTCCAGAACCTTTTTGCTTCAAAAGAAATAAATATACATTGAGGCAGGCCACTTAAAAATGATATGAAAATATTTCCCTGGGTAGCATTAAAAAAAAAGAAAAATAGACAAAGAAACATTTAAACTATTTCTGCATTTCAAAAGACAGATATTAAACATATATACATAGTGGTAAGGTTCAGTGGTAACTTTCATCTTAGTAAACCTATAAGAGTCAGAGAAGCTGTAGACACATCCTCTAAACTCCAGCTTCTGACCTTACCTACTTGGTAATAAGTATCTGAAAATTCATTTCCTCCCTTTACCAGTGGCTATTTGCCCTGCTCTGGATTGCTTCACTAAAGGCCAGTCCCCATACCTCAGGAACGAGCAGCGTGATGCACCAGAAGCAGCTCCGTGCCCATCTCCTTGCGACATTCATTGGGGGAAATGAAATACAGGCAAATAAATATGCCCATTATAAGTCACCATTTATCTTGCAAAAACATTGAAAATGAAACAATCACAGGTGTTTGAAAAGACAATATAAAGCATATTTCCTAAAACCTTAAAGACTACTGAGTGCAATGCTAATCTGATGCTGAACCATAATTTTATGGTAGTGAGAATTTCATTTTTTAAAATAAAAATTTATCTAATACCTAACTGGAAAAAAAACCCCCAAACTTTTAAGATTAATAAAAAGTGTTTTCCCTTTTAGCGCCCTTTTGTGCTGATTTCTCTTTTAAATTTTAACTGATCACAGTTTAATGGTATTTATTTTCAATACAGTTACAAGTTTTTTCACCTACACTTTCCAGTAGAGTCTTTTGTATTTGAGTTAACCATTTTCCATCAAGATAAGATCAAAAATGCACTTAAAACTATTAACAAAGGGGAGAAAGGAAGGATTGAAAATGGCATTTTCCCCCCACTTCATTTGCTTTCCTTAGTGAAAGAGGGGGAGAAAGCTGTCCAAGTCAAAGTGGTATATTCTGCAATAAATTACAGGAAAAGAGGGTGTGGGACCCTAAATATGACTTGATAAACAAATGAGCTAGTGAAGACAAAACCTGTCTACTTTGTGGAGATCATCTGTGTATGCTGTGGGTATTTGTGTGTTAAAAAACACAGTTTTATGCATACACTATTAAGTTCCTGGATCATTTTTTTAATGTAAAAAAAATTAGAGAAACAAAGTTTACTGCTGCTGTCAGCACAAATAATTCTTCATAATAGTATTAAAACTGAAGGTAGAGAACTATATAGGGATATCTGAAGCTATATATTCCCCTAGTTCTCTTCAAAGTGCCACTTTCTTTCTGCTGGACAACTCTGGGAATATATTTAACCTCCACATTTCCTCTGAGCTCTTTCACAATGGGCCCGCCTGATAAAATGAAGCAATCAGTCACTCACTATCGATTTTTCTTTTTTCTTCCCTCCATAACCTCCCCCAGAAACACTGCCTGAAAATGAAGTTTACTTTGTGGCTGGTAACAACAACCAATGCTTGACTCTTATTTTTATATTCCAAACTGGATTCTTGCCTTGGACAAAGCAGGTAGACCATGCACATTTCCTGAAAGCAGAGAATTATGTATTTTGTATGAAGCCAATCGTTTTGCTTTGGTAAGAGGAACAAATAGATGTTACACCCACATAAGGGGAATCTGAAGGTAACCAAAGTTCACAAACAGTAAGAACAAGGGGCAACACAAGAACATTAGAAATGGAGAGTGGCCAAGAGCTGGCTTCAACTCTCTCAGATGAATAAAGCAAAACAAAACAAAATCCCCCAAAACGGCAATTCCCAAATTAACGGTCGGGAGAAAGAGAAAATATGTTCACGAATTTGTTCATGTAAACTTCGATTTTCTTGCAGTGCAAATTTATGTGTTTATATTTTACCTATATCAGAGAAAGTGTGTATTTTTTCCTCTTTCCTGATGGGAATCCACATCAAATAAACACAGCAGCATGTGCCAACTCCAAGCATCAGGAAGCTGCGTTTTGTGTTTATCATGGTTTGGTGGACATTTTTTTCCTTTTTGGTAATCTATTTAGTTTTGCCAGGTATTTATCTCAGTGCTTGCCATCTCTCTATCTCTCTCTTTCTCTATCTATCACACACTCTCCTCATTCTCTCCAGGAGACACTCCCCTCCATTGCCTGGTTACTCGCCTGCAAAGGTCAAAACACATCATTACACCTGCTACCTTTAAAGGATAGTCCAGTGTCTTAGTTGCTTTCCTTTTTCCTTAATTTTTTTTTTCTTTTTAAGGGATGGGGAAATAATAATTAAAAATAAAAGAACAATCAGAAGTTAGAGAGGGAACAAGAGGGCCGGGAAAGGGCCAAGGACCCAAAGGGAGGGGGAGCCCCGCGCTCTGCCCCTCCCCCCAGCTCGAGTTCACTGGACGGGCGTCTGCACCCCGTGGTGTGGTGGCGTGTCCCTACTCCCCCCGTACACATCCTCGGCGCCCGGCAGAGTCCCTCCGGGAGGGGTCATCCTTTTCTCTTTCTGTCTCCTGTTACAAAACCAAACTCTCACCACCTCCTTCTCCAGCTGTAAGCTGTCCGCGAGGGAGGTGATCTCCTGGGCCGAGGGCTTGGGGCATTTGAGGAAATGGCTCTCCAGAGCCCCCTTGACGCTCACCTCGATGGAGGTCCGCTTTTTCCGCTTGCGCCCTTGCGCTGCGATCTTGTCTATGCTCGTGGGGCTGCCCGAGGAAGAGTCCGCCTCCTCCAACCACTTGTTCAACAAAGGCTTCAGCTTGCACATGTTCTTGAAGCTCAGCTGCAGGGCCTCAAACCTGCAGATGGTGGTCTGCGAGAACACGTTGCCATACAGGGTACCCAGCGCCAGCCCCACGTCCGCTTGGGTAAATCCCAGTTTGATCCGCCGCTGCTTGAACTGCTTGGCGAACTGCTCCAGGTCGTCCGAGGTCGGCGTGTCCTCGTCCGAGTGCGGGTCGTGGTGCCCGCCTGGGTGGCCAGGCGGACCCTGTGGGGGCGGCGGGGGCGGCGGCTGCTGGTGCGGGTGCGAGTGCGGGTGCGGGTGGTGGTCTGCATGGTGCGGCTCGTCGTGCGCGTCCCGCAGGCCGTGGTGGTGCAGCCCGGCCGGCTGCCCGCCGGCGCCCAGCATGCCGTTCACGGTGAAGCTGGGCTGCGAGTAGAGCAAGCCGCCGTTGGACGCTCCCATGGAGGGTGGGAGGTGCGCTGCAGCCGCCGCGCTCCGCCATGCCCCGGGCCCCGGGTGGTGGTTAGCGGCGTGGTGCACCAGATGCGGCGGCCGCTGCTGCTGCTGCTGCTGCTGCTGCTGTTGCTGCTGTTGCTGCTGCTGTTGCTGCTGCTGCTGCTGGTGCTGCTGCTGCAGGGCGCCCGGCCCGTGCAGCTCGTCGCCGCGGCCGCCCTGCTGCACCACCACCGAGGGCTTGATGTCCGGCTGGCCCAGGGGGCTGGTGGACCACGGGGAGCCGTCGCCACCGCCCCCGCCGCCGCCCCCGCCCCCCCCGCCGCCGCCGCCGCCCCCGCCGCCGCCGCCGTGGGACAGCGCGGTGATCCACTGGTGAGCGTGGCTAAGCGGGTGTCCGTTGCTCTGCAGCGCGCCGTAGTCGCCCTGCACCAGGCTCTGCGCTTCGCGGTAGCCCCCCGCGCCCTGCTGCATGCCGCCGGGCGGCTCGGCGTGAACGATGGAGGCGCTGGAGGTGAGCAGGCTGTAGTGGTTAGACGCTGCGGTCGCCATGACTCTCGGAGCCGGACTGAGCGCTCCGGTTAAAGGAGCCGCGCATTTGACAGTTACTTTTTCGCCTCGGGCTCCCTCTCGTCGCTCGCTCTTTCTCTCTCCTCTCTCTCCCCCAGCGGGCAGCTCCGACGCCCGCTCCGACGCCTTCTGTTGCTGCTCCTGCTATTACTGCTGCTGCCGCCGCCGCCACCGCCTCCCGCCCGCCCGCGCGCCCTCGCTCTCTTTCTCCTCCTCTCCCTCCTTCTCGCTCTCGCTCACTCTCTGACTAGCTCGGCGCTCCCCCCTCTCCCTGCTCTCTCCAGCTCTCTCCCGCTCTCTTGGCAGCGCCGGCTCGCAGCGGCACGCGCCTGGGCCCCGCCCCCTCCGCCCCCTCCCATTGGCTCCGCGCCCTTTGATTTACGTGGATACCGCTAGCAACCTCCCAGGCCGGCACCACTGATTGGCGCAGGGCTACTCCCTCCTCCTCCCCCGGGCTTCGAGTCCTCCTAGACCTCCTCCCAGTCCCCTTCGCCTTCCGATTCAGATTCTCTCAGTTCTCACCCCCCTTCTTCCTCACCCAGGGCCTCCTCCGCCCTCTCTGGGATGGGCCCCGCCCCCCATCTGTCTCCCAGGCAGAAAAGCCGGGCAAGGGGGCGGTCCCGGTGCTCCTATCGACCTCAGACACTTGGAAGACTTGGATTGGGGCGGGGGTCTGGGGGAAGGTGGTGTCCACTTTCTCTTCCCAATAGGGCTTTGAGAGGAGGGAAACGGAGGGGCTAAGAGAAAAGCTGGGTTACACCGAGCCAGCAGGAGTCGGATTTTTATTCACCTAGGGACACATACAGTTTCTCTTAAACCTAGAGTCAAGAGCCAGACTTGTTCCCCTATTCAAGTCTCCTTGCATCCCACCGTTAGCATTTCAGTGCTCAAGTGTCTCTTGCTCCAGGGTGTGAGGACACTTCTGCCCCAATAAAGCCCTTCTTCCCCTCTACCCCGTGCCTAGCACAGGCTCTCTTCCTTTTAGATTCCAAGCCCAATGGTCTCCCAGTCCCTTTGCGAAAGAACTCCCAGAGAGGCAGGCTCAGCCGGCGCCGCGGCTTGTAAGTCACTCCAGTCAAGGCTCGGAGTTGCTTGTTCTGACAGCGCAGCGGTCTGAATTGAAAACAAAACAAAACTCTAAAGTCTCTCCGTCAGATTCACACGCGCACAGTTTTTGGTTTAGAAAAGTAGAAGCCTGCGTGGGCTCCGCCTTGTGCGAGGCTGCAGGAGTGCTGGCGAGGGGTGTTCGGCCTCGTGGGGCGGAGCAGTTGCCAAAGGCCGCTCCGGGAAGCCGCGCCGAAAGGCTGCGTGCGCGATTCCCCGCGTTCCTACCGCTGATCCGTGCAACTTTTCAGTTAGCCGCTTCGGAAGGGAGGAAGAGTGTGTGAAACAAATGGGCTGATGCCAGGGGAATCTTCCTAATCAGTAACTTTTGTGGGAGCCAGCGGATGGGGTTAGTCTGTCTTTGGCGCTCCCTGGCCAAACTCCTAGTTCAGCTTTCAGCGGTGAACTCCTGAGCAAGATTACGGGACCGTGCACCAGCAGCGCCGCTCTACGGAGCGCGGGCGCCTCGCGCCATCAGTTCCTTAGTCACCCGGAGCAGGTGCCTCCTGTCAGTTTCAGAGCCTGCAAACTCCGTAGCTAGAATCCAGGCGGGGACCCAGGCTGGAGCGGTGAGACCGCTACCCAGGGCGACGTGTATACTTAAGCGCTGTAAAGCGAATCAAAAGTTACTGCCAGGAAGGGAATGACAGACCTCAGGGAACATAGATCCTGTCCCCACCTCTCACCCCTGGCTCTATCACTGGTTCTGCCGGCGGTCGTGGGCAAGAGAGGGGCAGCCAAATCAACGCTTAGAGGGAGCATTTTGGGGCCTCTGAGCATCTCAGTCTAGACAGCGAACTGGAGCGGGCCAGAAAATTCATCATGACTAACAAGGAGCCATGCTCTTTGGAGAGTGGCTGTTTATAAATCACCATGCTGAGCAACCGCCCGGGCAAGACGCTTTGGCTGAGAATTTCCACGTGTCCTGTGTTTATGAGCGTGTGTGTGGGAGAGAAATGGATAGGGGAGGGGCCAGCCCACAGTCCGCCAGCAGGACGGACCTGCACCCCCCTTCACGCGCGCACCAGCGCGGCGAGGCGAGGCGAGGACACACACAGCGTGTCGCTCCGTCCCAGCGCAAGCGCGGGGCCACTCTGGCCCCGCGCCTGGGGGCTGCTAGGAATCCCATAACTTTGCTTAGCTAGGAAAAAATGAAAAAGTCCGAGCCTCAGCGCGCAGACTCGGCAGCTGGTGCCCGCGGCTTCTCAACAGCGGAGCGAAGGGGCTGGGTGGAGGGCAGAACCGCCTTCTCCCAACTTCGGCCCTGCATCCCCTGGGTGAGGTGCGTGGCTTTCCCTGGGCCTCGGGGAGCGCACAGGCAGCCGGCCAGTTGCATCTTCTCCTGACCCTGCGCGCCTATCTTTTCCCGGACCTGGGAGCTCAGAGCTCCCATGGACAGAAGAATTCAGTCCTGGGGAAGGGCCGCGTCTGAATGCTAAGCAGCTCGTACTTCTCCCACACCTTTCTGGGGCAGGTGTCTGCTTTTCTCTGGATTTAATTTCACATTTCTCTAGGGACAAGGCCTTCTGCAGCACATAGGATGATGCACTGGAGGGAAAAATAAAGTTTCTAAACACATCTCCTAGGGAACTGAGGGGGCCTGGCTCTGAATCAATTTAAAACTTCCTCCTCCTCTTACCTTTCTCTTCACACCCCAATCCACCCCCCCGCCCTCCTCCAGGCAAAGGGCGCTAGTGTGAGGGGACAAGAATAGGCTGCACGTGTACATCAAAACTTCCTGTCTGCGGTGGGACATCACTGGCGATTAATGCTGAGATCCTTCCCATGTTGACGTCTCAGGTCTCCACTCTCCACCCTCCACCCCCATCTCATTTCGCCGGTGGTCGCGGAGCCAAAATGTTCCCAACAGGGTTTAATATGCCCAGTAAATCCCCGGGAGTACACAAAGCGATAGCCTACCCGGGGCCTCAGTCTCTGCACCCCACCCCCACCCCAAGCTCGGCCAATCGCCGGGCGGGTGGGGCTGGGCACGCACCGCAGCTCTGAGCACCGCTTCCCCACCGAGCTACCGAGCTACCGCCACCTCCCCTCCAGAAGCCTGGGGCCCGGTTGGCGCGAACGCCGCCGGGTTCTGAGCAGCCTGGGCTTCCTTGTCTGCCTCCCGACGCGGCACTTCTTTCGGGCTCTCGCAGGCTTTAGGTCCAGATGGGGGCCTCTCCACCGGTTCCTCCCCTGTCCCGCGCTCCAGGGGCCCATTCTTTGGGCTGACTCTGTCAGGACAGAGTCCGCTCGTCTGCCTGCCACCCTCCTCCCGCATAAAAGCACGCTGAAGGTGTCTCGGGCAGACACCTCCAGGTTTTGATTCAGCTCATTCCCTTTCACTGTTCAAAGCAGCTGTTCAAGTACAGAGGCTGCTTACGTTGACGTGGAGAGGATTTCAAACAACGCCAAAATGCTTTGAACTGACAAGGTGTCTTGATATCTCCCTCACTCCAGCACAGCTCCTCGAGATCACTCTCTAGGACAATGACTGAGCAGGCAGTTCCTGCGGGCCTCGCAGCCTTGGGGCGCGGACTGCCGCGTGTCCTAAGCTCCTTCCGCAAGGACAGGATGAAGGCACCTGTGAGGAGATGCTGGCGCCAGCCCAGTTTCTTCTCCCAGGTCCGGAGGAACCTCTACTCAGTCTGTACCCTGAGCTGGACTTGTCTGAAGAAACGGAGCCGACTCCTTCTTGCCCGGGTGCGCTGGGTGGAGGAGAAACATCCTAGAATAACAGAACTACACCAAAAAGATACACATATTATCTCTCACACTTTCACCCTCCTCGAGATAGTGAGCCAGACCTGGGTCTCGTCAGCACCCAGCACCTTGACACAACCCCTCCAAATTTCCACCTGAGTAACAGTTATCGATGAGTCCACGCACTGTAACTTGAATTCTAATTTATTAACTCCCTCATCTAGTAAACACTCACACCGTATGTAAAATAGTATTTTTTTTATTTCTATATACCAGAAGTTGGCAGAAAACCCAGCATGACCACTCCCATACATTGAGCTGGAGGCACGCAGTTACTAAAATAGAGGTGAAATCATATTCATTTGATCTTAATTTTTTCTTATTTATGTAGTCCCAGGATAACAGAAATGAGGAAACAAAAGAAAACAGAAAGAATTTTCTTAGGAGATGGCCATTGGGGGAGTGGAGGTAGCAGCTGGTTTAAACCTAGGTAAAACTCGAAAGATAAACTGCTGTTTCTTTTTTCACATATCCACCTTGGAGGCACATGTTTGAATGTCCTGTCCCTCTTCTTTTTAAAAAGCCTTGTCTCAGTCATTTACTCCTGTGCTTTCTGCTCTTCTGCTAGCCCCCAAAAGCTGTTTGATTTGGTAAGATCCCCCTCCAACCCTGAGTGGAACTTCTTTGCTAAGGGCCTGCAGAATGTCAAAACTGAGGCTCCAGCTTCAGAGCTAGAGCTTTGAACAGCCAATCCACATAAAAAGGCAGTTGGCAGCTTTAATGAAAACTGCCTTAAAGCTTCAAGAACTTCATCCTTGGGGGATGCATTTATAAGGAACATGGAAAATGCATTTCCAAGTTGCTGGTTCTTGTAGAAACATAATAAACATTTAAAAAAAAAAAAAAAAAAAAAAAAAAGACAGAACTTAATATCTTTAATTATACAGCAGCACATTTTCTCCTAAAGAAATAAAGCTTCCATATAAATTTGTATGTTACTAGCTATACCTACATTTTGCAAATTCCTAAATGTGCATCTGTCCCCATGTCATGAACGGTCTTGAAGAATTAAAGTTTCTGAAAGTTGAAACTCCTCTACGTCCTATGCTTGGCAACTCTGTCCATACCTCACAAACAAACAATTATATTTTACTTTCACTAGTGTGTAAACCAGTGAAATGTAATATTCTTAATTCAGTATTAGATATAAAATTATCTGTATTTATAGATACTAATCTCTTTCCCTTTTTCTTTGTTATGAATTTTATCATTAAAAATATTCCCCCCCTTTGTAGTCTGCAAGTGAATATATTATAGACAGGGATGGCTTGAAGACAACTAACACCACATCACCCAGATAGTCTAGCTGTTTCAAGGATTACTTTGAGTAATTTATCAAAGGAAGCCTGCTAAATCCTGAGCGGTGAATATGAGGCCTTAGGAGGGAGAAAACATAAAGGCAGCATTCCATCACAGTGTA